AGGCCTAATCGGAGATTTTAACTTCACTGCAATCGAGTAACCAAACCCCATACTTGGCCTGTTGCTGAGGCAATGAAAATCAAATAAAGTGAGAAAAAAAAAGTAGTCCCGCCAGATATATGCGTACGCAGTAAATGCTCTTGGCTAGAGGAGCCGAAGCCAACAGCCGCCACCAGAAATGATTTGTCGTTGATGGAAGAACTCAGTCATGATAAGTTAGCCTTACACGCAAAAGCTATTGACTGACTGACTTTCTACCCCACCAGGACATCACTCAAGCGATCAACATCCGATGACACAATGTGCCACCACGCGGATGAGGATCACCGTGGAGAGGTCCCAGAAACCGCGTTCAGACAATTGGCTATATTGATGGCCTGCCTATATTGCGGCCCCTGGCAAAAGCCAGAGTGGGGCTTCAAATAACAATAATTACCGTCCTAAGAAGGATGTGGATTCAAGCATAAGCTATTTCACCAGCCAGCACGTAATCCGGCTGCAGACCATATTTGATATCACGACTCAAACACTGCACAAATTAAAGGCATTCCACATTTTAAAAAGCGCTGTCAAAAGCAATAGTACCTACGTACTTAAAAATTCTGCCCCGCCCAGTCCTTTACATTGGGCCGTTTGACCACAGAATTGGACACTGTACCTGTTCATGACGTTTTGTTTTCGTCAGCTGCGAAGACTTTCCTTCCTTTGTGTGTGAGTACTTGCAGTGGCTTGCATCTATATTCTGTGGGAGCGGCAAGTCTGCTGCGCTGGTTATTCTAGCTATTGGGCATATTGTGGCATCATCTGCCAAACGCTGACAAAATGATGACCACTTCTGAAAATGTGTCAGCTGCTCTTCCCTTAAGCCTTTTGCCAACTTGCCATTATTGTACTTAGGCTTCGCCAACTGGCTTCCGAAATGTCCAGTTTGAATCAGCTGTAGGTGATTTGGTAGCGGCTCGCTATGCGTTGATTCTGAGAATGATATGGAGTGCTAATCTTCGGTAAAGCAATGGCAAACTACTAACAGTATTTTTGCCTAGTAACAGCACAAACACACAGCCCCGCCCCCCTCCCCGCCTTTTCAAAGAAAAGTCTGTGTTTGGTTAGCAAGATTCCATAAAAGATACACAAACAACTGCATGCGATATCTTCAAGTAACCACTACTGCACAGCCGTGAAGGTGCGGGCTAAGCAGACATCCCAAAGTTCACGCTACCGGCCGACGAATAACATAAAGATCTGAACATCTCATGGGAATGAAGGCGCATTAGTGGTAGCTGGGTAACTACAGTCCTAGATTTGCAAACTATAGCTCTAGAGCCAGGTCGAGAGTTGGGTGGACACCTTTCACTGATGTGTTAACATTCAAAAGTAGCCACTGATAGCTCATTGCCAGAAGTCTTTTGCTTGATTCCATATCAAGAAAATTTGTAGAGACTGGTCTCAGCTCGACAAAGCCTACATTGTGTACTCTGAAATGTTTTTGGGAAACAAAGGTTATGAATGCCGACTGGCGTATACAAATGTACAGCTAGCCCTAAACAAAACCAGTATGCCTGCCTGTAAAAGATTAAATTTTTTTTTTGTATTTACATTGATGTGAATGACATAATTTTTCCCTCGGCCTTTTCTTTTGTGGGAGCCTCCGTGGTGTAGCGGCTAGATGCTTGCCTGCGGATAAGAAGGTGGTAGGTTCGGGTCCCGTGGGTAAAAGATTTTTTTCAAAAATGACTTTGACTTCTGGGTTAACCCAGCCCTGAATGGGTACCAGCTGGAGTCATGGAAGTAAAGGCGGCCGGTGTGATGTTGATAACAACCCCCACCTAGTACCGATTGGTCTATCAAAAATAGGTCTAGCCCTAGATGCCCAGTACGCCTGAATTCGTGGAAAGGGTCCTTTACTTCTTCGTTTGTGGAAGAATCACGGTGCTATTATTGGCTTATAAAACAGCAGGTTTCCAAGTGTTGCTTCCTGTCTCCCACTATTTGAGTGAATTTTGGTTGAATGTGTTCAGGAAGGATGCCTGTTCAAGCATTGCCGGGAATAGATCGGATGTATCAGGCGAGGTACAAATATTGTGTCTGTGAGATGTACAGAAACAGATGTTGCATTAAACCCAATTTAACGCGAAAGCAGCAGCAGCAACAGCAGCAGCAGCAGCAGCAGAAGAAGAAGAAGAAGAAGAAGAAGATGATGATGATGATGATGATGATGATGATAATGATAAGGAGTGGGAGGAATTGAAAGAAAGAAAAATAGAAAGAAAGAAAAATAGAAAGAAAGAAAAATAGAAAGAAAGAAAGAAAAAAAGAAAGAAAGAAAGAAAGAAAGAAAGAAAGAAAGAAAGAAAGAAAGAAAGAAAGAAAGAAAGAAAGAAAGAAAGAAAGAAAGAAAGAAAGAAAGAAAGAAAGAAAGAAAGAAAGAAAGAAAGAAAGAAAGAAAGAAAGAAAAATAAATCAGCTGTTTATGCATTTGAAAATGTATTCTTAAATAAAGCTATGTCCATCATGAAGATTAATTGACTTTTCAGGGTGAGCGTTCTGTCGTGTGGACCGATCTACTCAACCAAGCCACGCCTCCTAGAGTGATCAAAGCAAGAGAACGAGAGAAAAGGAGACTCAGATAAACGTTACACAAAAGGACGGATGACTTACTGCTTGCATGCTGCTGCAAATAATTCAAGATAAATCAGCAAGCAAAAAGATCAACTGTAACGTGTGCTAGAGGTTCGTAGACATGCTGACTACCATCTTGTTCCCTAGAATTCACTTTGAAAGGCAACAGTAAAATTTTCTCATCTGCTGGTTAACCCCACAAGGAGTTAACACCCCACACAAGGACACACGGTCCATCCATATTTTGTCTCTCAAGCAGTTGTAGACTGAATCGTTTCAGCCACTCTTCGAATGGAAAACATAAGGAAAAATATATGTCGGGGAATTTTTCCGTTCCAGAGACTATTCTGAGCAACTTGTCATTCCTCTGTGGTGGAATTATGAATAAATGAATGTTTTTGACTAGTAGCCCATGCATTCAAAGTGTACTTCTTCAGCAAAAATGTTACGTACTGAAAACATTAGAAATAATGTCTAAATGACTACATGGTTGGAGTAACTTATGTGGAGTCAACGAGATATAATTTAATGTACATTATTGGATTAAGTGAACCCATAGAAGTACATTACAATCATAAAACATAAGGTGAAAGGGATTTGATATAAAGGTTGCGACAATGACTCTGTATTCAAGAGTGTGCGGTTTTGGCTATGGGAAATGGCAGAAGTTTCAGGACAAGATCCGGGATTCGAAATCTCAGCGACGCCTGGTGTTGGTTATCGTCTGTATCGCCTTGTTGCTGGACAACATGCTCTACATGGTGATCGTGCCCATCATACCCAACTACCTGGCCCTGCAGAAGGAGAAGAGTGACGAGACCAAGTACCAGTATCGTTACTACGACGTTACACATTCGACCAACGACACGACAGGGGTGACCCATAGTTACATACTTGCCCACAAGCTCAACCCAAACGGTAAATTCAAAAATGGCGAAGTTGTCAATATACCCCAAGACGCCATCTTAGCAGAAAACAACACTTTCCACCCAGACTATCACGACAACCGTATTTATTTGCTAAAAATCCCCGTGCCTCCCCCACCTATATCATACGGTGACGAAGGTCTAGCAATAGGTGTTCTGTTTGCCTCAAAAGCCATATTTCAGCTGTGTATCAACCCGTTTACGGGAGGCCTGATAGACAGAATCGGCTACGATATTCCAATGATGATCGGACTAACCATCATGTTCCTCTCTACGTTTGTATTTGCTTTTGGAGAAAGCTATGCTGTATTATTCTTGGCTCGGAGTCTACAGGGTTTGGGCTCCGCTTTCGCAGATACTTCTGGTTTGGCGATGATTGCTGATAGATTCACAGAAGAGAAAGAAAGGACAAAGTCTTTAGGTATAGCTTTGGCTTTTATATCATTTGGGAGTTTGTTTGCTCCACCATTCGGTGGCATTCTGTACGAGTTCACAGGCAAAACAGCCCCATTTGTAATCTTAGCCCTGGTTTGTCTCCTTGATGGGATTCTGATGATTCTTGTGATGAAACCAGTTCGCTTGGAACGATCTATGCTGACGAGGGAAGAGCGACCTGCAGGCACGCCCATCTATAGATTGCTCATGGATCCTTATATTGCTGTGGCGGCTGGTGCTCTGGCTATGGCCAACGTGTCTCTGGCCTTCTTGGAGCCAACAATATCTTTGTGGATGAAGGTAACAATGGGTGCCGACGAGTGGCAGATTGGCTTCAGCTGGCTTCCGGCATTCATCCCTCACGTGCTTGGTGTCTACATCACGGTCAAACTGGCCTACAAGTTCAAACAGTACCAATGGCTGATGGCCTTGATTGGACTCTCTATGGAAGGCATCTTCTGTTTCTTCATTCCATTCTGCACGAGTTTCTTCGCTGTCATTTTCCCCATTATGGGCCTCTGCTTCGGTATCGCTCTTGTAGACACTGCCTTGCTGCCTACGTTGGGCTACCTCGTAGACGTCAGACACACAAGCGTCTACGGAAGCGTCTACGCTATCGCAGACATCTCCTACTCTCTTGCCTACGCCATTGGTCCCATAGTTGCTGGAAGCATCGTGTCCAACATCGGATTCCTATGGCTGAACATACTCATCTTTCTAACCAACATTCTCTACGCACCTCTTCTCTTCTTCCTCCGCAATATCTACATTTACAAACCTTTTGATAACGACAACGAGGTTCTTCTCGATGACCCTCCACCTAAAGGTTACAACACCTACGTCCAAAATGGTGGACTCAGCGGCAGACCGGAGATCGTTAGCAACGGTGATAATTTTGCCAACCATTTGAAGATCAGCAACAGAAAAAGCAACGAAATTGATTGCTACCCTCCACCGACAGAGCCCGAATATGTGTATAGCAAAGACAGCTCCCATAATTTCTACAACCAGTTCCATTGATAACTGTACTATTGTCTTGATCTACAGTGCATGTGAAAATGACGTGTTATGTAATTTGTAAAGTGCATAAATCTGTTATGTGAATACAAACATATAGGCAGGCTTTTTTTTTTTCTGGCGGTACACAGTACAGATGGAAGTCGCGGTGGCGGAGAAGCTCGCCTGCGGATCAACATGTCATGGGTTCGCTTCCTGGCGGAGCCAAGAAATGACCTTGGCTCCCAGATCGACCCAGCCTTGAGTGAGTACCAGATGCAGTTCCGTGAAGTAAAGACGGCCGGCGTGATGCTGACCACATCACCCAACTTGTGCCGATTGGTCTATAAAATATAGGTCTAGCCCTATATACCCTATACGCCTAAAGGCGTGGAAAAGGGCCTTTTACTTTATTTACTTACACCGTACAGATACCTTTTAATGCATCACTATTTCTGTAACAGACTGTGGTAAGTATCAGCATTTATTTTTCCTAGGAGATTGGAAGTAAAAGTCCTGCATGTTAGTATACAATGTTTCAAAAGGAAGACGCCCTATCATCATGTGGCTTGCTGACTGGCGTGGGCGATCATGCCTCTCCAAAATCCGCGATCTCCTGCAGCATTTATCAGTTCGTAAGCTGACACACCTCCATGCCATTCAACAAGACTGTCAAGAATCTTCTTCTCTCGTGGTCTTCCTTGATCCCTCCTTCCACAGATCTTTCCAGTGGTCACATGTTATATTTTCCCTCTTCTCATAACATGGCTAAAAAAAAAGGATGACTGTCTCCTTCTGATGTCTGTGATAAGTTGTCTTCGGGCTCCCGCCTCTGTCAAAACCTCTTGGTTACTCTTTTTGGCTGTCCGAGGTATTTTGAGCATTTTTCTGTAAAACCACATCACCGACGCCTCAAAAAGTTGGCTTATGTATATACAACTTATTCTTCTATACTGGAATCAACGCTGGCAAGATCCCCTCGCCCTTCCCCTCCCCAGGTTCCGAGGCAGACCTAGCCCTAAATGAATATCATGTAATGTCATGGGAAGTAAAAACGGTTAACGTGATGCTGACCACATCACACACCGAGGACAGATTCATCTACAAAAATATGGGTCAAGCATCACGGTGTGTACCTTGTGTAGAAAGAGCCCATTTTATTTGTCCCACTTATTCTGTCGTACATCCGGGCATCTTGGAGTGTTCAACAAATTAGGAACAGTTGGGAAGCATTGAATTTGTGGTGTCCCAGACTTCTTCATCGGCTCAACCACCGGCTGTAAACTCAGCTGGAAAATATAGGCTGTTCGTCCGCTTCTGGACTTTGGTGTTGTTCCAGAATTGGATTTTTAATCGTTCTAGAGATCTGGCTTATTTGAGTGCAAACTCTTGGTTCCTGGCACCTCAGGCAGACGCAGTCTCTTCTATGGAAACAACAACAAAGAGTAGCGGATGAGTGTAATTTACTAATAATTAAGCTATCCTGTTCTCAATTTTGTGCAAAGTTGATTCATATTAATTAAAGGAAAATACCATCCCTTAGTTTGAAAAAGTTGATGTTTTTAATTGAAATAAATTACTATTTCCATCAGTTATGATAAATATCAAATGTTTTAAGTGAAATAAATTATTAAGGTTTTCAATTTTGATGAGCTGTTGATGATTGAAACTATTTTACATGTTTTTGCTGTCAGAAATGGTGATTCGTAAGTTTTCTGTGTGTTTTATATGTTTTTGCTGTCAGAAATGGTGATTCGTAAGTTTTCTGTGTGTTTTATATGTTTTTGCTGTCAGAAATGGTGATTCGTAAGTTTTCTGTGTGTTTTATATGTTTTTGCTGTCAGAAATGGTGATTCGTAAGTTTTCTGTGTGTTTTATATGTTTTTTGCTGTCAGAAATGGTGATTCGTAAGTTTTCTGTGTGTTTTATATGTTTTTGCTGTCAGAAATGGTGATTCGTAAGTTTTCTGTGTGTTTTATATGTTTTTGCTGTCAGAAATGGTGATTCGTAAGTTTTCTGTGTGTTTTATATGTTTTTGCTGTCAGAAATAGTGATTCGTAAGTTTTCTGTGTGTTTTATATGTTTTTGCTGTCAGAAATGGTGATTCGTAAGTTTTCTATGTGTTTTACATGTTTTTGCTGTCTGAAATGGTGATTCGTAAGTTTTCTGTGTGTTTTATATGTTTTTGCTGTCACGAATGGTGATTCATTTGTTTTGTGTCAGTTTTATAGAGGGGAGTTAGTAATGACGATAGTGATGCTATTTACATTTCTGCTCTGCTGTAAACTGTAAGCAAAGGACCCTTTCCACCCCAGTGGCCTCATCAGTCACCTGGTACTAGGCTTGGATCTATTTTGTTTATAAGTCGCCTCATTTAGTGAATATCACACCGTCCTTCTTTACTTTGCTTGACTTTGCAAAGCATCCTTTTAGGCTGGGTCGACCTATACGTCAGGTCAACTTTCTTTTTCTTTTTTGAAATAATTAGGCGGGCGAGCGACTGATCACTAGACTACAGAGGCACCCCGTTTTTAACAACGGGATGAATTCCTGTGTCGGTGAGCATTATCAAATAGCAAGGCTGTGATTTTAAATGAACTTTAATTTCAGTATAATAATTGAAACCTGTTTTCTTAGTTGTGTCTATTTTTTTTTTAAATTATATTTTTAAACTGGTAGTAAAATACAAACATGAAGCCTGTTTTCATAACTGTGTTTATTTTTTATAAAAAAAATTTTCAACGGTTAGTAATTTCCTTAAATGAAACCTGTTTTCCTAACTTTGAATTTATTAAGGAAGCGGTCATTAAGTTAAACTGGGGAACTGTTTTCATAGCTATGTTTTAATTTTATTCAAGAAACAGTCAGTAAGTTTTTTTATTTTAAATTGTTTTTACAGCTTTGCTTGATTTTGTTTAACAAAAATGTAGTAATTTAAATGAAAGATACATTTTTTAAACAGCTTTGTCTCCTTTTATTAAAGAAACGGACAGTAAGTTAAATAAATATTGCCGGTTTTCAGAGCTTTGTTTGAATTTATTAAAGAAACCGGTCTTAGGTTGAATAAATAAGTCCAGTTTGTAAAGTTTTGTTTGACTTTATAAAAGAAACGGATTGTAATCTAACAAAAAGAAGACCTCTTTCCATATTTTTGTTTAAAATAATTAATACCCCCCCCCCCCCCCCCCTCCCCCAACCCCCTTTTCCCGAAAATAAAAACCCTCAGGTGGTGTGCTAAAAATACAAATGTTTTCACGACTCGGGTTGGCAAGCGACCCATGACAATAGGTCCATGTTTGTGTCACTCGGTGTTAACGCGGAATTTTCCTGCCTACATCTAAAAATTTACTCACAGAAACTTTGCTTTAAAAAAAAAAAAGCTGTGGTTTTTGAGCATGTACATGAAACATTTGGGAACTGTGCTTAGTACGTTTGCCTGCCGATCCGGTAGGTGAAGGTTCGAATTACCTCTGTCTAATTTGACTAAAGTTCGTAGGCTGACGCAGAAGTGTATAAGAATGTCTCCTATGAAACAGATGTGTATAAGAATGTCTCCTAAGAAACAGAAGTGTATAAGAATGTCTCCTAAGAAACAGATGTGTATAAGAATGTCTCCTAAGAAACAGATGTGGTCGCTGTCATAAACCAACTGTCTTTTGTAAAAAAAAAAAAAAAAAAGCCACCCATCCAGCAGTAGTGAAGGAGGATGGAACAATCTGTAGTTTGGTAATGCAAGAATGAGAGAGAGAGAGAGAGAGAGAGAGAGAGAGAGAGAGAGAGAGAGAGAGAGAGAGGCAGACGGGGGAAGGAGGAGGAATGAGCGAATGGAAAACATAGACCGAGGAGGTAGAGACCGTGGATAGAACGAACGAATGAGACTAAAACAAAGATCGGAGAAAAAGAAGAAAGAGAACGAACGAAGGCGTTTATGGGGCAAACGCAAGCGACATAGACTGGAAGGGAGAGAGAAATAATGAGAAAAAGATAGAGGGAGAGAGATAAATAGGGAGATAGAGAGAGATAACGAAAGAGATAGAGAGACATAGAGAGAGATAAAGAGAGAGAGAAAGAAAGAGATAGATAACAAGAGACAGGGAAAGACAGAGATAGACAAGGAAGGAGATAACCAGAGATAGATAGAGACAGAGAAAGAAGGAGAGAGAGATAGAGAGACAGATAGACAGAGAGAGAGAGAGAGAGAGAGAGAGAGAGAGAGAGAGAGAGAGAGAGAGAGCTCAATTACATACTTAATTATCAAACGGAGAGTTCGATGAGATGAATCGTGCAAAACATCAAGATGTGAAAGCTGATAAGTATCTCATGTGTGTACAGACATTTGGAAAAATTCGAAGTTTGAGGCTTCGGCTTTGATTGAAAAATAATTATTCAAGGTCTAGGGTACACATTTGCAGAAAATGGGTAATAAAGTCACAAAGAAACACACAAGCGAACACACAAGGAGAAAGAGAGAGAGAGAGAGAGAGAGAGAGAGAGAGAGAGAGAGAGAGAGAGAGAGAGAGAGAGAGAGAACACTTGAGAGGAGAGAGAGAAAAAAAAAGGAGAGAGAATATAAGTGTCTGATGGATTCAGAAATAAAATTGCAGGACAAATCAAACCAAACTTGAGTTGATTTTGGCATTATGTTTTGTGTCGCACTAAATCTGGCGTGGATCACGTGTTCCAACAACAGTATTTCCACATCTGTGATGTGTCATTGTTATATGTAATATTTTATGTTAGGACTGATTACTGTGACCACACGTCCTGTTGTCCTCGGGACAGTTTCTTTTTCTGAGTGGCCCAGCCATCCAGTCGGTATTCCAAACAAAAACGTCATTGTCCAGTTTTATAAAACAAACTAGGAATAAGTTCAATAATAGACAACATATTTTTAGTTATAACTGTATACGTTATTGAATTTAACCTTATGTTTTGTATACTTTGAGTGCTTCAAATGTATTGATCAGAATTTTCGTTGCAGAGGTTTCTTGTTCACAGTCACTTAACGAGAGTATGGTATGGTT